TGATTTCTCACTTTCTTTCTCTCTCTGGTGAGAATGAATGCATTATAATACATTTTTAAATTAATTTTTATTTAACCAATTGCAGACAAATTGCTCATCTGTATTATTCTTCCAGTTACATGCTAGCCTTCTTGAGCTAGCTGCATACTCTCACTTTTCTTTAAAATGTTGGCTCCATTCAGTACTTTTTCAATTAAGAATTTTCCAAGAAATACATATACCACTGATAGCAATGGTGGGTATAAAGGAGTTTTCAGAGATTTTTTTTTTCTTTTTTAAATGAAAGAATAGGTAGGTAATATGTCTAAGTGTGTGCTCAATCAATAATTTTAAAGGACTTGTTCTTTATATCAGGAAGTAAAAGAGTGGGAATAAAGCCCAGAAAAAAAAGTGTGAACATTTTTTTCAAAGCATTTTCTTTGTTTTTCTTTCTTTTAATTTTTTGCCAGTGGGCACATGCACTCACCTAAGACAGATAGAGAGAGGGAGCCAAAGTGAGAAAGCACCCTCCATGGGGTAAGGTCATGCCACAGTGCCTTCTTCTCCATTTTTCCCTTCCTTTGGGATTTTGAGCATATATGCACACATGCCTGGCCATTTCTAAAGCTGTTGAGTCTGGGACTTAAACCATGTGGTTGGCCATGTATTGTAGGATTCAAGAAAACCCATAGATCTGATATATGGTTAATATTCAAAATGTATAAAGAACTCAAACAATTCAATAGTAATAAAACAAATGATTTTAAAAAGGGTCAAGGACTTGAAAAGATATTTCTTAAAACATGCAAATGGCCAAAAAGTTCATGAAAAAATGTTTAGTTTCACTAATCATTAGGAAACTACAAATTAAAAACAGAAGATACCCACCTCAACTCTGTTAGAATAAATATCATCAAAAAAAAAATGAAAGATAGATGGTAGCAAGGATGCAGAGAAAAGGGAACACCTGTACACTATTCGTGGGGATGTAAATTCGTACAATCATGATGGAAAATGGTACTGAGATGTCTCAAAAAAACAGAACTAGAACTGTCCTGTGGGATCCTGCAATCCCACTTCTGGGTACACATCCAAATAAATTGAAATAAGACATCTCTTATTTCACAATCACTGCAGCATAACTCACAAGAGCCACGATATGGAATCAGCCTAAGTGTTTATTGACAGAGTAATAAATGAAGAATATGATGTATATCCACAATGGAATATTATTGAGCCTTCAAGAAGGAGGAAAGTCTGCCATTTGTGACAACATGGATCAATCTGGAGGACATATGAGAAATTAAATCATCTAAGCACAGAAAGACCAATATCCTTTGAATCTCACTTATATGTGAAATCTAAAAAAGGTAAACTTATACAAGTAGAGTAT